GGAAAGAATGAGAGAAAGAAAGAGAGAGTGAAGTGAGAAAAAGAAAAGAAAGAAAGGAATAAAGTCACAAAGAGGTGGAAATGGAAAGAATGAGAGAAAGAAAGAGAGAGTGAAGTGAGAAAAAGAAAAGAAAGAAAAGAATAAAGTAATGAATAAAGTGACTGACGTTGATGGATGGGATTAGATAGATACGGTTAGGATATTAGTATTTTAGAATGGTTTGTTGGGCTTGGGATATTATTAGTATGGCTTGTTGGGCTTGTTGGCTAGTTGGGCTTAGGATATTTAGTATTTCCTTCCAATCTTTTGTGTTAAAATAATAGATTATTGACTAAATAAACTTTTTACAAAGTTTCATTAAAAATTTCCATGTATTTATCACAATTTCCGTGGTTTTTATCCAATTTTTATCAATATCGATATTTTCCCGATATTTCCATCGATATTTCCGTGTTTTTGAACCACCGATATTTCTGAAACCCTCGATATTTAAAACCTTGCTAAGGATATATTATATTGTGATTAGTTGTGAAGAGTTGAGAAAAGATTTGAGATACAGAGTTGTGGAATAAGGGGAAAGTTTATGATAAGTTTCGGAATATGAGTTTCAAACCCATCACAGGAGTACCCCCTAATTGCCTTCGATATAGTTTTTTCATTTAAGGTAATGCTCCACGAGTTTCGTGGACGCCTAAACCATGTGGTGTGAGGATATGCGTTCTCGGGTTGACTACATGTCCTCCGAGTTCTCCGAAGAATGCGGCTCAGGTTGACTAAGTGTCCCATGAGTGTTGCGAGGAATGCAGCTCGGGTGGACTCTGTGTTTCCGAGGCATGCAAGGATGTAACTGACAGGATACTTGGAATTGACGGTATAATGTGGGAAGTACATAGAAAATCATGGAATTAACGGAAAATTGGTGGAATTGACGGATCACAAATGGGGGTACGCCTAAGTGGAGAGTATTTAAGTTTTGACATGTTTTAAGATAAAATTGAGGATTTTATCTTGGCATTTATGGACAAAGGTTTTAAGATATGTTTTTCTTACTTAAGAGACAAGGATTAAGAGTTTCTAAGTTTTAAGAATTTTGTATAATTCACGATTATTTTCTTAAGTGAAGTTTTATTTTGCTATGTCGTTACTTGATTTTATATTCTTGTTTTGTTCTCCTTGTGTTTCTTTTCCAATTTGAAATTTATTCTCCTCTCATTGTTTTCTTTTCTTTTTTCATTTCTTTTCATATTTGATTTTGCAAAACAGGTGGTACACATAAAAGTTGATCACATTACTTGTCAATAAAACAAAGAGAAAGAACTACATGTAGCTTGATCCCTTGTTAAGGGTACGAAGGCAACCTAGAGTTACTAGGTGCAGCCGCGAGACCAAGTGATTGAAAAGCTGTTCAGTTAAGTTATTTTGAAATCTGTTAACGTATTGATTATGTTTTAAAAGTTGGGATCAATTTCAGTTGGCATAACGATTTATTTAATTTAAAGAGGCTTGATGTCATATGGATTTGATGTTTGGTTGCATGTGTGCATGCTGAACGGTTGTGGACATTTAAATTGCTTATTGTATAGGTGAAAATATTGAGAAAAGAGCGAATTACAGGGGAGACTCTGCCGAATTTTCGGCAGAAGTCAAACCTTAAAAGAAGTTTGAGTCAAAGTTAGAAGGGTAATTTGGTCAAGTGTGCCCAGCACCTGCCAGTTGTTGGACACGCACAGGGTTCAGCTCATATTCCAAAGTGGAATTTGGGTCTGATTCTATCAACTGTAGCTAGAGTTGGACCTATTTTTGTGAAGGAAAGGGGTCTTACATATATTGTTCTTGAGAGTGATGCTCTCCAGATCATGACGGCTCTCAAGAATTATTCTATTGATTGGCCCAATTATGGAAGATAAAAAGAGGCTTTTGTCACATATCATTGGGGAAGGTTTTACCCACATCCATCGCACAACAAATAACATGACTCGTCGTATGGCTCGTTTCGCATTACATATTGGGGCTTCTCTAACTTGGTTTAAAGAACCCCCTGACTTTATTTCTAATGCCTTATTTGAGGATTGAAACTATTAACTTTTTCGGGTAACTTAATGGGGGGAATGTGGGGCTTCTCTATTCTAGTCTTTATGTAGAGAAACTTACCTAACCAAGCCATCGTTCGACCTTTATGTACTTTTGGTTATTTTCTTATCAACAAATTACTATCATTTCTACTAATTTTTTTTTTAAAAATGTGGGTTCTATATTAGGAGCAATAGTTGATGTAACATCGTGAGTCAATTAAGTAGTTTATTTAATTATTTAATTGCAAAATTACATTTTTGCCCTTGGGGGTAGAGGTACTTTAGTCACCCCTAGTTCTAGAAGGATTTTGGGGAATTGAGTAGCATCGTTGCTTAGAGCTCATCGATATGAGTGCATGGATAGGCGGCACGCTCAATTTCGAGTTGTAACAAATGCGTAAAGGTCTGAGAATCGAAAAGACACGTTGGGAATTTCTAAAATTGTTCAGAAACCTTAAATACCCAGCTCTTCACCTTCTCAGCAATGCCTCGCCGCCGTCTAGCCACGTACTCTAACGAGACAGGTTCGAAAATGACCGGCTACTTCCAACGACCATGTTTAGGCTAAGATTCAGACACCCAAGTCCGGCACGATGCCGTTTTGAGTTCCAAAAGGCCACAATTACCGTGGTTTTAGTAGCCTTTTTCGTCGACTTCGGCGACTGTTGACGTCGATCCAGGTATGGGTTTCAATCATCTCCTTGTGCTTTTGCTGATTGTGTATGTGGTTTTGGTTGATTTTGAGATTTGAGAGTTTGATTTAGACACCGTTAGAGGCTGGTAGTTTTGACCGTGTTTCGGGCACCTCCAGCCAATTTTTTGTAGGGGTCCAAGAACAAAAAATGCACCCCTAGTTGTGCTTGAACTGTGGGTATAGGTATTGGGTGAGCCACCCACCGTTGCCATCGACGAGTGGCTGCGCGTGGGCCACCTTGTGGAGGCCAATGTGCTCTAAAATCTTCCCCACGTCGTCCCGAGCATGACGGTATACTCGGATTTGAAGTTAGTCACTGGTTGACTATTGAATAGATATTGCCCCTATAATGTGATATCTGGCTTCAATAGGTTTGGACCATTCGATCGGTTGCAATTTTAATTATGTTGTTCCCTGTACCTCTAGGATCTTGTGGAAACTTGTGGATCTAGAATTGGAGTCCCGGATATTTTGAGTCAATGATTATAGGGTTAGGCGAACCAATCACCATCCAATCGTGCAATTGGCTTAGATCCAACTACTCAATTGAGACCAAACCTTCGGGATGACCTATAGAAACTTTTGGATCGGAAATAGGAGGTCGTGGGCCTTGTGGGCCAGGTTGACCAATATGGAAAGTTTGACCGCTCGATTGCCCATGAGTTTTCCAAGATCGTCTCAGACTTGGCTCCACATGTGACCCACTATGTGGTGGTCTCACATGAGGGAGCGTGTTGAAAAATATAAATCCCACATCAGAAACTTAACTAAATAAAATAAAATATATAATGAATGGTTCCACTACTAATATCACCGAGGCTTTTGTAATAAAACTTCACACCTACTGAGCTTTATAGGTGGTTAAGTTATGGACAATATCGGCGTTACTAGTAGCGGGCTGCTAACCCGTCTCTTTGAAATTTAACATTCACCACATGAAAGCAAGAAAAGATTTATAAGCCAAACTGTTGGCTTGAAAAAAAAAAATTATATTTAACAAGGCGGCCTGAAGCCCAAATGGTGTTAAGGCACACCGAGTCAAATTAACAGCAAAGAAGGTGATATAGTCTGAAGACTACATCACAAGTCTGCATACTCCATAGGCAACAAGGGAATCATTGCTGTCAAACAGTCGAAAGAAAGAAGCAGAGTATAGCAAGTGCCTGCTTAAGTAGCTCTTATTCTCTGCATGGATCTGGGGTCATCTTCTCCACCTCCTAATTCCCTCATGGAAGTCTGTATGTATGCTCTCTAAACCCATTACCACATTTTCCTTCATCCCCAATTTTAGTCAAAATATCCTCTTTTAGGAAGGTGTTGTGTGATAGAGTGTATTAGGGTGTACCATGAGTATTTTAGGTAATTAAATATGGTGTGTGGGAGCAAATAATCCAACACCCAATCAGAAGGAGCCACGTGGAAAGGAAGATAACCCTAGAAATATATTATTTAAACCAATAAATCAGGTTTAATAATATATTTAATAAGGAAGTTACTTATTTAAGTTGATGGACTAAATTCCATAAATTCCCTCAATCAAATTATTCAAGAAATGAACACACACACACACACACACACACACTCTCTCTCTCTCTCTCTCT